CCAGTCACTCACACGCCAGTCACTCACACGCCAGTCACTCACACGCCAGTCACTCACACACGTGGGCAATCTGGTAACCCCAGTTAGCTTCGGTATGTTTTTGGACTGTGGGGGGGAAACGGGGTATCCAGAGGAAACCCCACGACGACACGGAGAGAAAATGCAGACGGAGGCGGAGACGTAAAAGCATGGTCCCAGTGGTGTGAGGCAACAGTGCTAACCACTGCGTCACTGCATCAATAATTTCATATTAATTAAAAAAAAAAAAAAAAGGCATTTTGTATCTCTAAAATATTTATAAGATATTAACCATCAGCCAAGGACCATATAAGAGGTTGTGGGCTCCACCGCCATTGCAAAGGTCCTACTCCCTATGTGAAATGTTGACGCTGAGACATCCCCGCATGGGGGGCAGGGGGCCATACAGCGATGCAGAAAGCCTGAGATTCCTGTAGACAGCGAGTTTCAGAACTGCATGCTAGACGTCCAGGTGAAAAGCAGGTATAAACGGCAGATGCTGCACCTGTGCCTTCTGAGGGTGTCCCGCTGTGGCCTGACGCTCAGGAGCTGCTGCCGGGCCGCTGCACTCCAAACGCTGTGATGAAGACATTGACCACCACGATGATGAAGACCAGGGCCGTGGCGATGTTCTCCAGCACGTTCAGCCTGAAGTGCTTGCTCACATCATTCAGGTCCCATTTCACTGCGGGAGTGAGACAAAGCGGTCACTTTATGTTTGGGTAAGTAAGGGCATTAAGAAGCTGCCTGTGTCTGTCTGGAGGAGAGCACCAGCATCTAGGTCATTCAGGACATGCTTTACCGCTTCCAGCGGGCAGGTGGCGCTGCTGAGCACATGTCGTAAACATAAAACCCCTGCATCTAGACGATATGCCTCTGATTCCTTATTCTTGCACTGCTCCTCGGCCCTAACCTGTCACTGTCACATTCAGGACACCGGAAAACCAGCGTGGGACCACTGCAGCGAGCAGTAGCTGGTCAGGGTAACATGCTCTGCTCTGAGCCCACTACAAAAGAGATGCTTTGTAAAAAAGCACCCGGGTTATGTGACCCTAGTACGGCCTGAATGATGAGGTTCAGGGTGGGCATCTAAAGTTAAAGTCTGTCAGGTTTTGAGCTGGGTGTTGAGGCCGGTCGCCGAGATTGTGGATTGTGGCTCAGGTCTTTTGGGAAATCACAGTGCTCTCATTGTCACCCAAGCAGCAAGGGCTCTTTTCAGGGGTCTCCAGGAAATACATTCTCCCTTCAACGCGCTGGCACAATACAGGGCTCTAATCAAGGTAACTCACTCACCCATGTATGTACAGGTAGTTTTTCTTCCTTTTTAGCACCCAAAACACCCTGGGAACAAAAGACTGAAGTGGAGGGATGTGAAGCACAGACCACCCACAGTCTCGCACGGCGTGTCAGGTGACTGGATTAATCTGGCTGAATCATTCCAGCTCATTCTCAACAATAAGGATAACTTCTATTTTGTTTCACCCCCAGTCACCTGGAGCTCACGGTCCCATAACCTGTAATCTTCTCCCACCCCTCCGACTCCCTGTTCAGTCCCACCTCATCAGTCCTGTTTGTGTTCACTTTCCTGTTTCCCTGTGAATCCAGCTCCTTTGTTTGGTACTCTGTCATGCTACCACTAAGCCCGCTCTGCTCCTGTTTAACCCTGAAGTGGAAAATGCCGCCAATAATCCCATTCTTCGCTGCCAAGTCCCTGTCATGTGATTCTGTTTTCCAGCCTGACAGGAAATGTTCTCACAAAGAGAACAGTCTTTCTTCCCCCCCCCAGTGCTCAGTCTCTGTCATTTGTTCTAAATGAGTATGTATTTTCTCTCCATTCATTCACATAAATGAACTCCTGATATGTTTTAGGGTTTCTACTCAATTATATTCATTGCAAGACAATGATGAAAGTGTTTTTTTAAGCTGTTCCCATGCTGACGAATGTGGTCTGTTTTTTGTTGTCTGAAGAGAATTGCATGTGGACTGCCACATTTTGCGCAAATGCACACTATCAAGAGTTAATCTCAATCAAAATCGACTGACTCAACTCTGAGGAGTGTTATTGTGACTTTTTTCAAATAAAGAAATCATTCAAGCATCTATCCTACAGAAAGAGGCTCGAGCCCGCCCTGCTTCATCCCTCACCGATGAAGATGAGTAGGATGCCCACGATGATCTGCAGGCCCAGTGAGATGCTGACAAGCACCACGAGTGGGTAGTAGAAGACGAAGTCTGGGCCCTGCTCCAGCACAGCCTTCAGCTGAGAGGCGTTGGCCATCAGCAAGGCCACGTCCAGCATGCTCTCCGCCGCGCTCTTCTTATTGGCGTAGTGGTTCATGTTCAGCGGTCCATCGCTACGCCTCCAGCGCCCCCTGTGGAGCACCTGTGGGAGACGGCAAGTGTGGTCAGCAAAGCAGGATGACCACAACCCATAGAGGATAAACACGCATCTGTCACTGGCAATGTGTTTACCACCTAATCACCATCCACCCATCTTCCAAATCTTATTCGTCACCCAATTACCATGTACTAAATAAAACAATTAGGATTACTGATGGATTCTGTTCCCCCATCCCACTGAAATCAAAAAGATATGCATGGCTTAAAGCAATGCATTCTGGTCCTGACACAATGCATCATGGTTAGATTTTTTTTTGTCCGACTTCAGCCGGCGCTGCAAAATGTCACCACGCGTCACCATGTCACATGGTACAAAAACCTCGCGAGAGCAAGGCGATCATCTATTTCTCCTGAAAAGCACGTGAAGCAGTGACAACTGGTTTTCAGTTAATTTACCTGTGGCCTGTACTACGAAGCGGGGTTACTGGCTTATCGGGCTAACTTGGCGGATTTAAGGTAGTCTGGGCAAAATGTAAGTGAACGAATATGAAGTCCATTTAAACTGTGGTACCTTAAATCCGACAAGTTACCCCGATAAGCCAGTAAGCCCGCTTCATAGTACAGGCCACTGGTAAAATAAAGTTTAAATAAATAAGAACTATACAAACGAGAGGAGGCCATTCGGCCCATCAAGCTCGCTTGGGGAGAACTTAACTAATAGCTCAGAGTTGTTAAAATCTTATCTAGCTCTGATTTAAAGGAACCCAAGGATTCAGCATGTGGACTGCCACATTTTGCGCAAAATGCACACTATCAAGAGTTAATCTCAATCAAAATCGACTGACTCAACTCTGACATAAATGCTCTAATAGTACACGTAAGTTAGTGGTTTATTTATTGTTAATTACTGTAATGTTGCGCTACTTTGTTTAATCGTCCAGTCTGTGAAGAAGGCATTCAAGTAAGAATTGCATTGTACTCTGTACATGACGATAGAGAAAAACTTTGAATCCTAGAAATACATGTATTTGATCTTTTTACACAGAGCCACTATACACAATAGTTTATTTTTTTCCACTGCTAACAGTTTGTATCAGGAGTTGGTTATTGTAAAAGAAGTAATGTGCATGCAGGTGATATTTGTATAGATTTATCTACACCCTTCTGGCAGTGCTGCCACTGCAGTCAGGTCTCAGACTACGAGGAGCAGAACTTGTCCGACTTGGCTACAGTCAGTTTACACACCAACCCTGCAGCCGCCGGCAGATCTCGCTCCACGTCACGTCAGCCGCAGACAGACCTAAGCCCAAGTCGAACGCAGCAATACACCCAGTCACAGAGTATTCAACTGGTTGGTTGAAACAAAATCCCGGTCTGGACTTTTACTCTCTGGACCTGAATTAACCAACTCGGGTGGCTGTATACTTCAAACGATGTCTGGACTAAACGAAACTGAATATGTCTACCCAAACAATCTGTCACAACATTAAAACAACACCGCTACTTAGTTCATTCATGTCACAAGTCTAGAGGGTGCAGAATATTTTTGATGCAGCAGACCCACATACAGAGTGTAAATAAACATATTGTGGCATGAGTCATTTTAAAAAAGGAGATGACAGATCTTTTAAAATGGAAGTTACTATCTTTATCCAAAGCCACTACAGGTTTAATACCAGAAGTAGCACTGACAGGGAAGCCAAGAATTTAAACAAGTCTCACGTTTACATGCGAACGAAACACACGCGTTCCAAAAATACAGTTACAACATTTACTATTATTATTATTATT